GGGGGGGGGGGGGGGGGAGTCGGGAAGGTTAAAGCGCAGATTTATTGATCAAGTTTTATGATCGCAGATCAAAGAGTCGATGGGCATAATTACTGCCACTCAAAAAGGCCGACCATCTTAACACTTGTGTGTTTTCGTTACGCTGTTTGAAGCCTCATTTTTTGCTCTTTGATTGTTCGTACGTGCAATTATGCTCCCACACGCCTACACACGTGTACGCTCGCACACACGGACGCGTTCCCGTGTCCCTGCACCCCCCTCCCCCGCTCGTAGATATAGAAGTGGAGCTGCAGTTGCGTACGGCCCCATTTTGGCCATTAAGAAATAATTTGATTGAACCGAACTTTGACATTTTTGAGAATGCTCTGCGGTCAGCTATGCGTTTGAAGTTCTGGGCCCGCCCACTTGCGATGGACGTAAATAAGTTCCGCGCGTCATATTGGACGATTAAGAGCACCGTCGACCAATCAGAAACGGGAGTTGGTGAATTTTGTTCATTCGATTTGAGGTTACGATGTAGAAATACGCGTATCAAGGACACACGCTTTAAATTCTGTGACCCGAAGAAAGCAATTTCAATGAAGGTCGTTTAACCGTCATATTGCTGATGATGTCCGAATGGAAAAACGGCTTTCTAAATTTTGTCCTCGAAATTTCATAATTTAAAAATTTCAGGTTCGAGTTTTTTTTAATTTTCACGATGAACATCTTCCGAATGATGTTCGCCCTCTTTCTCGAATGTTTTCCGACCACCAGTTCAAGAGAATTAAATTTTGCGTATTCGCACTTTTTTTTTAAAAACACCAGCACCTGGGTGAAAAACCGACACAATTCCATGAAAATTATGTTGTAGCCTCCAAATACAATGATTGATCCCAAAAACAAAGATCTTCTTTCCGATTCTAGGACTAGTACTTCACTTTTCTTTTAGTGTTTAACCCAACTTGCTGAAAAATTCTAACAACCTTAGGGTTGATACTTGAGGGTTACCATTGTTTTTTGTATAGCCTCGGAACACCAGAAAAGTTACGTAATCATTTTGAAAAAGTTACGTTGGTTAAAATGTATAGTTTCAAAGAGGGGAGGAACGAAAACTTACCGTCTTTCAATTTCTGTTCTGATGATGAATCATCCATATCGTGCCCCCTGAGAGATCTGGAAATAGCGCTGACTGAAGGAGCTGTGCTTCTGTCACAGAGACCATCTTTGATTAATCTGCAACAAAAGAAATTGACGCAACATTTTTAACAACATACTTCTCATCGCTTCATTCAGATAGTTTTACGAAGAAAAGCACAAAGCATAGTGAGACATTCCGAGTTTCATTATGATGGTATGAAAGGATAACCCATCGATAAGAGAGCNTATGATGGATTTCTTTATTTGATTTGGGGTCGCGATTAGAAATACGCGTGTCAAGGACGCATGCACATTTAAATTTCGTGACCCGAAGAGAGCAATTTCAATGAAGGTTGTTTAACCGCCTTACTGCTGATGATGTCCGAATGAAAACACGGTTTTCTAAATTTTGTCCTCGAAATTTCATAATTTAAAAATTTGAGGTTTGATTTTTTTTTTAATTTTCACGATGAACATCTTTCGAATGATGTCCACCCTCTTTCTCGAACGTTTTCCGACCACCAGTTCAAGAGAGTTAAATTTTGCGTATTCGCACTTTTTTTTAAAACACCAGCACCTGGGTGAAAAACCGACACAATTCCATGAAAATTATGTTGTAGCCTCCAAATACAATGATTGATCCCAAAAACAAAGATCTTCTTTCCGATTCTAGGACTATTACTTCACTTTTCTTTTAGTGTTTAACCCAACTTGCTGAAAAGTTCTAATAACCTTAGGGTTGATACTTGAGGGTTACCATTGTTTTTTGTATAGCCTCGGAACACCAGAAAAGTTACTTAATTATTTTGAAAAAGTTACGTTGGTTAAAATGTATAGTTTCAAAGAGGGGAGGAACGAAAACTTACCGTCTTTCAATTTCTGTTCTGATGATGAATCATCCATATCGTGCCCCCTGAGAGATCTGGAAATAGCGCTGACTGAAGGAGCTGTGCTTCTGTCACAGAGACCATCTTTGATTAATCTGCAACAAAAGAAATTGACGCAACATTTTTAACAACATACTTCTCATCGCTTCATTCAGATAGTTTTACGAAGAAAAGCACAAAGCATAGTGAGACATTCCGAGTTTCATTATGATGGTATGAAAGGATAACCCATCGATAAGAGAGCGAAAAATCCTTTAGAGACTTTATACGATTATGCCTGATTTTGTTGGACTTTTTCCTAACTTAGAAGCCGAGACCGTCTGCTATTATTATGATGCTAGTCTAGCGGTCCACGAACATCGGACTGAAGATGATGTACAGGGTTATTCAAAAGTCACGCACCACTGGCCATGAGGGGGGTGGCCATTTGAAATTTTTGAGTTGCCCTCCGCCGCGCCCCCCTCCCCCGAGGGGACCAAAAACTGGAAAGTGCCTAAAAAATTTTCCCCTTCGATATGAGGAAAAACGTCTAAACCGCAAATCGATATCATGATTAGAACTGAAGTTATGGCCAGTGGTGCGTGACTTTTGAATAACCCTGTAACTCCCATTTTCTTGGAGAGCACAGAGACAATCCAGCGGCGTGTACATGCAGAAAACATCGCTGTGGTGTTTTGCACGCTTTTTATTCCGATGAAAATTTTGGGGAAAATAAAGGAGAATTCTGCCGCACTTTAAAGCGAAAAGATCTTCTATGGGCGTAGCTGTCGAGGACCCAGGGGACCTGGCCCCCTAGAATTTAAAATAGTATCATTCGGCCCCCTAGAAAATTTAAATTTAAAATAAAACTTTAATTTTCTAACGACACAATGTAAAATTAGAAGAAAAGAAGAGAACAATCATTTAAATAATATGAAAATTTGCATCGGGGTAGCCTCTAAATTATTCTCAAATATAGTCAATTTTTCAACATTTTCGGGGTAGATTCCCGCTTTTTTTGTGCGAGGGGGGGGGGGGANGGGGGGGGGGGGTATCATTCCATATCCCTTAGACCTCCCCCTGAGTGAGGTTGGAGCTAGGAATCATTTTGGGGAGGAGACCCAGCCCTCCCCCTCCCCCCCCCAGAAAAATGATATCCCATCGTCCCATGTCTCCCCCGTCTGGACTGCGTGAAACCACGCGAATGCGCACCTGCCAAAACATGGGCTATTGAGGGTAGTGCAATTATAATGTTGCACTTCGACTGTTCGACGACTCCTTTTTAATTTAAAACCATTAGCGCAACTAAGTTCGTGCGAAGCCATTACACGTCGGCACTAAACTTTCAGACGATACAGGCAGACGCCACAGTGGAAAGTAAGATGCGTTTACTATTAGCACACGGAGTATTCGGCATCCTTACTTCTCGTCTGGAAAAGAATTCGTAATTAAAAACACGGTCCTAATAGAAAATTAGGAGAGGCATAAAAGCGCAAGAACAGGAGAGGAAAACCGCACGGAGGAACCCCAGCTCTAACGGAGGAACATAATATGGAGCGCTTAATCTGTGTGACGCTACGAGCGCGCCGTGCATTAAAAGAGCGGTTTCAGAGTCGCTCCGAAGTGTGTGCGGTTCTGCGGTCATGGATCCCTCTCGAAATGACGTCATCAAAAATGGTTTGACCGACGATTATGGGCTCGAGGTCTCTTTCATCTATGCCGGCGGCATTGCCACCAGTGGCGTGGCGTGAATTGCGATGTATCGATTGTCATGCCGTTTAAACCTGTGGTAAAGAATCGATTATTAAGGTGTTCGCTGCGAACACCCTGTTTATCGATCCTTTTCAATAGGTTTAAATGGCATAACAATCGATACATCGCAAAGCACGCCACGCCACTGATTGCCACCGCACTGATTTAGGATTCAACGACAAGTCCGCCGTGCGACGGGAGACAACAGTAAGTGCATTTCAGCGGAGAGCCCGGGTTAGCACGAATCTTATGCACTCCGAGGGTCACACCCGAGGGCACTTACTGCTGTTCTCTGTAGTACCGCGGGTTTCTGACTCGGTTTCGCACGCACTTCGGCTCGCAGTCCCTGCATGTGCTGGAGGCCGAGCACTGCAATTCGCACAGCTCAAAGCACCACCGAAGATCCTACACTCCGAGCCCTTGAAAAAGAGCGTACGAAAAAAACGAAGACGGAGTTCTGTCTCTCTTTGATTTTTGACACGGTGTTACACTCTATTTCCTACTTCAAGCACCACACAAGTGGCAATCTTGCGATTTTCTGTTGCAGTTGGGGTCCTCCACCCCCTCTCAGTCCCCCACTGTACAACCAGCCCCAGGCAACCGTGGTTTGTGACCATCAAACTCGGGTCGCCTAGCCGGGAATCGACCCCAGGACCTTCTGATCATGCCGCCATACTTTCAGAAAAAAATAAAAAACTTGGAACTATTTTCTTTGCCGTAGTCTGCGAATTTAAAATTTATGCGCATTTATCATAAATGGTCTTGTAATTTTCCATCTTCGAGTTCAAGTGTTGCTGCAATTTTTTTTATTTTTAGAGAGGAGCGTGAAAGTCTCCGAGAATTCCACAAAAATTAAAATCTATTTACATTTCTCGAAATTCGGGTAGAGACACTACTGAAAAATGTTACCAAAGAATTTCTAAAACGTGGCAATGGATGGCACATCAGTTGTGCCTCTCACAAGTCATGAAACTGACCTGGTGCTGATGCGCTGAATTAATAGCATGCATTACTACTACCTCTACAAAAACCCCTGCCACCACAATTGAATGCAATTTATTTCGATATTATAAGGTGTTCTGGAGAAAAATAACGGAAGTATAAACAGCGAAAAAAAGCACGGTTATCCTAGAGGCACGCGGGTTTTGTCACACGGGAATCCACATTACTAGAACTGTGAATTTTGGTGATTGCAACGGTGAAAAAATTGATATTGTCACGCCTAATGTGATGTCACTGCGAGTAGGATAGCAAAATATCTAGACTCGATAAACTTGTCTAAATTCACGATTTCAATCTACCATGCAAAGGAAAACTGGGACGTTCCCATATTGCTCGGAAATATCGTCTCTCCTAATGTAAGAGACTGTCTCGTGTTCCTCGTGAGCCCTGTTTCACATAAAACTCCATGCTTTCTGGGTCTCATGCAGAAATCGAGATACACCCTTACGTCAGAGAAGCGACACTTATATTCATTTTAGAAGAAGTTTCCTTTTCCTCCCTCCTTCAAAGAGTTCCTTTCTCCTTGATATGTTCACATTTTAGATTAAATTATGAGAGGACAATTTTTGGAAAACTCCGATGAAAAATATTCCCAAGTGTCTCTGAAAACCCAGATTAAATTCGGCAATGTCTGAAGGCTCATATTGCATTCTTCCTAAGCGAGACAATGACACCGATGATTGGACCAAATTTTGCAATTAGGAGCTACAATCTCAGGCTAATTCATAAAAGCACCTACCTGCACACGGATACTAATGGTACATATGCTGTTTCTAAATTTAGCCAAAGAGTTCCCAATCGCAAACTGTACACTGAAAAAAATAAGTAGCTTGGATCAAGCATGATGATTCTTGAATTTGCCGCCAAGAAATGTTTTTTTCTTGCTTTAAGCTGACTTTTTCTTGATACAAGAAAAATAATGCTTGGGTTAAGCAAGAAAGTAGCTTATATTAACCAGAAAAATTCTTGATTTAAGAAGAAATACTTCTTGGCGGCAAATTTAAGATTCTTTTTTTTCCAGTGTAGTCAAATTATCTTGTGACATCGAGATCGCGTGTACCCGTAGAATAACTTCTTCCTATTCTTCCTGTAAGTCGCGACATAACGTGGTACACGAAAAGAGCACTGGATCATTCAATTTTCAGGGAATGTGAAAATATTGGGAAATCCCGAAAAACTGGGATCGGAATCTGCTTGTATAAGTTCCGGGAATCCCCTCGAAGCTGCGCAGGGAGGGACTAATTAGGACGGACCGTGAAAACGATATAGACGGGAGCGGTTCGGAGTCCGGATGGTCATCCCGAGCAAGGGTCTCGTACAACGGGGCTCAGACGACCGCTTTTATTTTTCAGGGAAAGGGCCGCGATAATTCATACAAAAGAAAGGGATAGTTTCTGCGTTGTTGTACTGTCCCGTCAGGCAGGTTGCCCTTGTTCGATCCACCGTTTTTCCGCGAGTTAATTAGACTGCACCGTTGTCAGATTCAGTGGATAAATAAATGCACTATGGTAGGAACTTTACGATACTATTATGAAAGAACCTATAATGATGTAGCTAATGAATATTTTGCTGAGTTTTTGAAAAACGTGTGTACACACGCTTTCTTTTCCCTGAATGATTGGATCTACTCGCGCGAGATACACTGAAAAAAAAACCACATTGGACCTAGAGTTCAGACTCTTGAAAAATTGACAAGAATAAATACTCTTGATTTAATCGGATTTTTGCCTGAATCAAAACGAAATCCGCTTAAATTAAGAGGCTTGGTTCTTGATTTAAGCTAGATTCTGATTGAATCAAGAGTACTTTTTCTTGTCGATGTTTTTAAGAGTCTGGACTCTAGATCCAATGTGTTTTTTCTCTAGTGTACATTTACAATAATCATAAGAATTAAATGAAATTATAATTGAATCAGTTAACATTATATTTGAGAATTTCTTCTCGTCTATGTAAATCAAAATGGAATTATTTTTCAGTACAGAGTTTTGCGCACGTTTAACTAAGGACTTGATATTTGCATCGTCAAATTATAAAAAGAAGAAAATAAAAATAAAGTAGATTTAAATAATTACATCTTGAAGAACATTTTCTTCTTTATTTAAAACGAAAGTGCTATTTCTTTAAAAGGCCAAAATTCGCTCAAAAGAGAAAGTAGTGAGAGTGTATTATCACACGGCACTTCTCTCGTAATTTTCACGTAATCATCTTTCCTCATGCATAAAAACTACCTACTACATTACGAGCGAAAACATCCGAAACTTTCATGCTTTACTTGAATAAAATGGTGTTTGATTTCTAACTTTAACTATAAATTATAAGCATCTTCGTGTCTCTCTTATTTTTTTAAGATTTTAATCTTAAAAACAACCCTACGATACTTTGTCATGCACAAATTAAAGGGTAGAGGTAGACTTTACATAATTTTGAGTAACTCAATCTGTAATCAGATCGTAAAGCTTTTTGAAATTCATGCGCCAAATCTAAAAGTAAATGAAATTAATATACCCAAGCTCCTCATATGGCTTAGCAGGACCTGATTTTCAAAGATAGGTACGCTCAGCTATAATCGTTTTTGCCGATTTTTTAGGTCTTTGAATCAAAGTCTACGCCACTTCCAGTTTTGTAAATTTGCATAAAAATGTGTACTATTTCAAAATTATTGTAAAGATGTTAAAATTTCAACTCACTTATTCCTCGCATCTGCAACAGCTTCGTCACTGCAACATTCAATTTTCAATCAGCTTTTGTTCTAATTAGAAATTACTTTATTTTAAAGTGAGTTTTGAATCATATTTACGCAAAATTACTATGAATCAAATCTAAATGGTACTTCAAAATGAATTTGATGAAATGTGATGATATAAAAAAATTCATTTTCATTTCAGGTAAAAATTCAAAAATTGCATTCAAAACATTCTTGGTATGAGTCTTGAAAGCATAAAATACTTAAAAATATTTCAGATTAAAACTTTCCTATAATTTTCACAAAATACTTAAGGCATGAAAGTAGACACTATCGCAAAGATGTGTGAAACAAGATAAGTTTATAGGCGAATTTTCAGTGCATGAACCCATTTAACGTAAGCTTAATCAAGCTGGATTAAATCGCGTGTAATTTTTGCCTGTCCTTACAGTCAATCCCTAATCCCTTCGCTGCCATAATTTTTAGACTATACCTCAAAAAGTCAGATACCGAACACGCTATACTTCGTGATTGGAAGGTTATATAGGTAAATGACCATCACGTTAGAACAACAGGACAGTATGGGGGAGACGGGAGAACCTCTATGATTATTATTTTCTTTTATCCTATAATTCATTAGACGTCTTGGCAACATTGCAGTTCTCTTTCTGACATTCGGAAAAGAGGGAACTGAGGAGACAAAAGATCCTTACAAAACGGGAAAGAAACCAAAACTACTTTCTCTCCCTGTTTTGACTCGGCGGTGATTTACGTCCCTTTAGAATTTCCAGAAAACGGGAACCTCTGAACAGTTTTAATTTTCATGCAAAGCAGGAAAAAAGATCGGCAGATAATCTGTACGGTGCTCTATATTTGTGTCACTGCATGTTAACGTTTATGATAAGTTACTCCAGCAAAAAGATTGTTACGGGAAATTTAAAGCGATTGATTTATAGAAAATTTCAACGATAAGAAATGTGTTTGTATTTTCTGGAGAGGCATGGACAAATATTTCAAGGCAACATGGATAGTCGGCAAAAAAAGGTGTCTAAAATGTCCGGGACCTCTCTTTTTACTAGTGCACTTAGCGTGCTTGAGTTGTAAAAAGAACCAAACAGCACCCTTTTTGACCACAGAGAAATGAATGAATCGTGGCTAGTCTTGGTTGGATCTTAATTTTTGGGGTCTAACCACAATATATTGGATGAAATGCCCATTTCTAATTTATTGAGGCTAGACTCTAACTAGAATTAAACGGCTGAAGCCAATTGCTACAATTAATCAGGAATGGTCATTTCATCCAAGGATTTCGTTTGGCATCTCTTATATTCTGTGCGGATGTTCAAAGATGCAGTCATCTAACATTTCCATTGCCAAGGTCGAAAAGTGAAATGCGCGTCTTTGATTGTAAGGTTGCAAATCTCCACTCATGTTTCATTTCTAAGAGAAAAAAATATGTACCGAAGAATTTTCCTCGAATAATTCCGTGATCTTTCTTTTTCATGTACAATATTCCTAAAAAATTAGAAAGAGATATCTAGATTAGTTTTCTTTGGAAAATTAAACATAATCGAAGATCTTGAAACGTTGCAACGCAGAAAATAATTTTTTCACTAAACAATCATTGATTTACTTCAAGAGAGATAATCGCAAGTTCGAGATCAATGTCTGTCGGTGGAATTCGGAGGTCAAGGATCCTATCCTCGATTATGTCAAAGCCGTCCTCACACGGTCAAAACGAGCACTTCAAAGTGGGTAACCGGTGGTATCGGACAAACGACTCAGGACTCGGATTATTCTTTCCAGCCACCAACAGTCACCGGTTATCCACTTTGAGCATCTGAAGACGGCATCGGGCCCCCGAAATTCCACCGACGAACACGGATCTCAAACATGGCGGCGGAGGCCATAGAGTACATAGAGTCGTAATGTAAGTGGGTGAGCTGGCGCTACTTTACAGCATTTTCCAGGCCCCGAATTCCGAGACTCCTGTGTGACGCCGGGTCACTTTTTCGATACATAATCGATTGTTTGCGATACATGGGTACCCGGCCATCCGATGTAAACAAAGAAGATAGGGATCACCTCGTAATCCGCACCGCCATTTTGGATCGAACTTGTATCGAAAAAGTGGCCCAAACTCGGCGCACACCGGGCTCGGAATTCGTCGAGCAGAACATGGCGCCAGCTCCCCCATTTACATTACGACTCTATGTACTCTATGGCGGAGGCGAGTGGCTGTGGGTGGGGGTGGGTCATAGAGTACATAGAGTCGTAATGTAAACGGGAGAGCTGGCGCCATGTTCTGCCCGACGAATTCCGAGCCCGGTGTGCGCCGAGTTCGGGTCGCTTTTTCGATACATTTTCGATCCAAAATGGCGGTGTGAAATACGTAGTAATTCCTATCTCCTTTGTTGTTGTTGTTGTTGTTGTTGTTGTCATCGGATGGCCGGGTACCCGTGTATCGCAAACAATCGATTATGTATCGAAAAAGTGACCCGGCGTCACACAGGAGTCTCGGAATTCGGGCCCTGGAAAATGCTTAAAAGTGGCGCCAGCTCTCACCCTTACATTACGACTCTATGTACTCAACGGCGGAGGCGGGTGGCTGTGGGTGGGGGTGGGTGGAGGTAATGAGGGGTTTGAGACTGACCTATCACGGATCTCCCAGCTGAAAATGCTGGGGTTCTCGGCCTTGTACTGCTCGATTTTGCGCTCGACGTCGGGGGTGGCGACGCGGGGCTTGGAGCCGCCGATGACGCCGGGGCGGATGCTCCCGGTCTCCTGGTAGCGGTTGAGGATCTTGGAGACGCAGCCGTGGGAGACGCGCAGTTGCCGCGAGATGACGCACGGGCGAACGCCGGCCGCCGCCATCTCCACGATCTTGAGCCGGATGTGGTTCGGCAGCGGGCGTCCGTTTATGAACACCCCGCCCAGTTGGTTGACACGGCCCTGACCTGCGAACAGAAATCCAATCACATCATCCATCAAACATCCTTCCAATGCAAATAGGTAAAGCCCTGGATAGACGATCAAATTCCCGAACCAATTCCGATCAAAGTAGCATCAAAGTGTCGGGAGTCATCAGTCTTAAACTCATTAATTTTTCTTCATTTCAAAATGAAAACTTGCCAGAAATGTTTCCTGTGGCAGGAAATGATGAACGGTGGCACTCCGTTCTGATCTTACTTTGAACAAAAAATTGCGGCCCGTCAAAATGTGATGGCAGATGGTGACTGCCAGTCATCAGTATGTCTACTTTGATCGGAATTGGTTCGGAATTTGATCGTCTATCCAGGGCTTTCGGTATTAGAAACAACCCATCTATTCAAAAACCAGCGACGGGTAAACAACACCACTAGTGGCCGAAAGATTACCTATAATGTGGACTTCATTTTGCAATAATAACCACTATGTCTGGCTCATTTTAAAAACAACACATATGCCATTGGTTTCCCTATGCAAGAAGGTGCTTTTATGGAATATCCAAAGACAGTGATTCTTTATTGCAAAGTGTAATACATATGAGGAGAGTACGGAAGTGGCGAAATATGGAGCTCTTTGGGACCCAAAAGGGCGCAGCCAACCCTCCAACACGAAAAACACTAAAAAATGCCTCTATCAATCTTCAGATTCCAATATCAAACCAAGATGACCAAGAGTGTTCATAAATAAGACAAAATTGAGCAAATGTATGCAAAAACCACGCACGCGGTTTACAAACGACGCGAAGGGCCGTAATCTGGATAATTTGAGTTCATAGGTTGGCTGACCTTTTGGGCTCTAAGAGCTCCCTGACAGCCTCCACACTGGAAAAAAAACATTGGATCTAGAGTCCAGACTCTTGAAAACATTGACAAGAAAAAATACTCTTGATTCAATCAGATTTAAGCTTAAATCAAAAGGAAATCCGCTCAAATTAAGAGGCTTGGTTTTTGATTTAAGCAAAAATCCGGTTGAATCAAGAGTATTTTTTCTTGTCGAGAATTTTAAGAGTCTGGACTGTAGATCCAATGCGTTTTTTTTCCAGTGCAGAATTATCGACATGTCCATCCTCTCCTCATATAGGTGCTCTTGTAACCGAGGCCCACCTCTGAAACATTGATTCTTGATTCGGAAAGTCAGAACACACAAAAACACAAGCAAATACTCACATCTACACTATAATTAATCGCACGTTGAGGAGCCACAGGGAACATTTTCTCTTTCCGTTCCCGGCTTTCGATTTTTCCGAGCGGCTTTAATCCCTAATCAATGCCCATCCCAAATTCATCTGTCAAAAAATGATCTATTAATAATACATAAACGAGAGGATTAGATCCTTGTAACATTCTGCAAAAGTATACATTCTCTTGTTCGTTACGGAAGGTGTAGGTTTACGATTACGGCTAGAGAGACGGCTATTTGCAAAAAAAGGAGAAGAAGGAAAGGAAAGTTGCAGTTTTGAAACAAATTATACGTTCTCAGTCTGATCAAGTAAGCGAGTAGCTGCACATTTAAAAAACTAGACATTTTGGTTAATGAAGTTCTCAATCTTGACTGGCTCAACATACCCGAGAGACTTGAACGCCCGGTTAAAAAAGCAAGCATAATTGGTACTCGATATTAAATAATACTTATAACTCAATAACTCACATTTTCACTCATTCTGTTGATACTATCTCGTACCAAGGCTCACAGCAACCGAGAGACTTGAACGCTCGGTTAGAAAAGCAAACCTTTACACGTAACGCATTATGAATAATTTGAATTATGATACTTTAAAAGACTATTACTTTACTCAAAATATTAATCATAATTTAGATGCTGTTAAAGCTCAAAATAACCGAGAGACTTTAACACCTGGTTAGAAAAGCAAACATACACGTAATATGCATTAGTAATGAATAATTGATTATGATACTTCAGAAGACAACCAGGACTCATAACTTTCACTCACATTTTACGCATATTTTTGACAATATCAATGCTTAGAAGAACCGAGTAACTTTAACGCATTGGTACAAAAGAAAATTCACACGTAACACATCATGAATAAATAGTTACTACGATAATTTAGAAGACTTTCAAATAGATTAATGTTCGATGCACACCTAATCAAACAGATTCACCTTCTTGTGACCCTAATTTTTCTCAATAAGTATGCATTAAATTAGAACGAACACATTCCTAACCTTTTTTACTTAGAGGCCTGTCAATACTAACTGCACTTTTTCAGTGATTCTAATTAATTGTGAACGGAAATTAGTTTCCGCTTTTGTCATGTGCGCAAAACATGCGGAAGTGCAACTAAAGTGCCTGCGTTAATAATCGATCACCATGAAATGCGAAGTATCGGAGGGGAGAAATTGCAAGAAAGTTATTGAAAGCCGAGTGAAACGAACTGCCGAAGAGGGTGCGAGCGAGAAAAAGGTGCGAAGGAGCAATTACCGCCGATGAAAAATGGCTCCGGACTCCCGGTTTTCCTGCCGAACCAGCTTCAGAAATTTCTAATTATTCGATCTTTCGGGTGAGGCTGGGTTTTTTTCTCGACTAGTTTTTATGAATCAAGAGCCAATTCAATCAAGAACCGTCGACGAGGAGGCCAGGGATTAAAAAAAAACAAAAAACAAAAATGCAGAAAACGTGGAGGTCACAGCGCGGCGCGGAGAGAAACTGAATGGGACCGGGGAGGTAATGAGAAACAGTGCGGCGTGGCTTGCTTTGCGATATATCGATTGATCTGCCATTTAAACCTACGGAAAAGGATCGATGGTCAGGGTATACCTTAATAATCGATTCTTTACCAAAGCTTCAAATGGGAAAATATCGATGGATCGATCATTCACGCTTCGCCACTGGGGAGCGGGAAAAAGATGACGCTGAGTTTCCCAGATGTTTAGTTTGGAAACAATGAAAGTGAAATAAGTTGAAACACTGACGCAGGTAATAAAGAGAATGCGCCAGGGGTGGGGGGGTGGCGAGGCACCTGTAGCTCCAGAGCCTGGCGGCGTCTTTCATCACACTCTGAGCATGAATCGACATTTTGATACTTTTTATGTAGGTAAATGATATCCTCTCTGGCACTGCGGCCGGGCTATTGGTTGTGCCGCGTCACTTGCGCTTTCGATACGTGAAAACTACCTCAAAATTTTGATTATTATTTTTCTACTTCTTGCAGGGGTTTACGCTCTGATTATGCTGGGAGCGACTAGGAATATAGGAATAGGATTTTTGCGAGTTGATGCGGTTCTCGCAACTCTCTCAAAGAGCAGTGGCACGGCGTGCTTTGCGATAAATCGATTACTATGCCATTTAGATCTATGGAGAAGGATTGATAAACGGGGTGTTCGCAGCGAACACCTTAATAATCGATTCTTTACCATTGGTTTAAATAGCATAACAATCGATACATCGCAAAGCACGCCACGCCACTGTCAAAGAGCACCAACGTTCGCGAATGAAGGAACGAATGGGCCGCATTTTTTAATGAGGAACTACTATCTATGACTCATTTTAAAAACCATGTAATGTTCCATCAGCTTCCTCATGCAGATAGGTGTTTTTATAAATGAGCCAAAAATAGTAGTTTCAAACTGCAAAGTTTAGTTTAAGAAATATTGATTACCACTGTTACTAATTTAGGGTATCATTGTACAATAAACCTCTCTCAATTTTATTGTTTTTTATTTTTTATATTTTACCCAACCTAGAAAAAATGTAGGTATAAAAAATTACAGCAACACAAGTCGAAAAATCCGTATTTTTGATTACGATGTTTGTAATCACCGCCAATGTCTTAATGTTTGAAAAAAAAAACCAACCAATTTTTCTTGGAATTTTCGGAGAGATTTTTCCCCTCGCTCAGAAGTATCAACAGAAAATTTCGAGGAGATACGTTGATTAGTTTTCATTCAAATAAATAAAATATAATCCGGAATTTTGAGAATTGTTCAAACCTGTTGTTACGACCATCTGAACCCAAATCAAATCAAATACCATAGAGCCCAAAATCGAAAGGACGGTGGAATTGTCTAAACCTCACGAAACGAATTTCCAGTTGACTATAGTTTCATATTTATTCGTCTATTCGTAATATTGAGATGTATTGTGCCTCATCGCGAGCTGCGTAAGATGAGTTGATGGAACCGCGCTCAAAAAAAGAGAGAAAAGCCGATAGGAGTAACAAGAGGCGGGTACAAGAGGGCGGTGACAACATTCAATTCACTCTGAATAAAAAAGAAGAAAAAATGGAAAAAGAAGAAAAATCTAATTCAATGAAAATGGAAACCGACAGCAGTTTTCCCAGCCAGGCGCGCTAATGATTCAATACTTTTCCCTTTCATGAGCCGGTAGGAATCTCGCGGCACGTTTTTCGTCCGCGCTAGACAGTGCTGGAAATTGGGCATTATTGGCAAATCAAGTCAAGATTGATGTTGATAGCGTTGGATTTCTGCTCGCAGTCCGCGCAAAGAGGCAGATCAATGCTACCGTGCTAAGGAAAAACGCCTTATGATACTTCAGACGTTGCCAGATTTCCCTCGATAAAATACGAATTCCCTGGCACGCGGATAAATATTTTTCTTCCAGTTTTATAGGAAATTGTGTTCCCAATTTCACTTAAATTTCCAGCAAATTTCGAGGAAAAATATTAATAACTTTCCTTAAAAAGAAACATTTTATCGAAAGAAAAGCAACTCTCGGATGTTCCTACGGCGTTTTTACTTAGCACGGCAGAATGGAACAAGGATCCGTGTTTTCCTCTTGTTTAAGAGATTAATTGGACATTCACGCAAAAGAAGCGTATCTGCTATTGATGACCCACGTACATAAGCTTCTTTTACTTTGCATGAATGCGTCCGATTTCAGAAGAGTGAATTGCGAACCCGGAAGGTATCGGATCAGCGCATCGCATTTAGCAGATGGGAACCAACTCAAGTACAGCGTTATAAAAATCGTTTTATGCTTCCTCTACAGT